TTTAGAAAAATAATATATAGATATGTCTATATTTGATTATATTCTTTCTTTTTTGGTAGTACTGGGGTTTGAACTGAGGGCCTTGTACATGCCAAGCAAGTAAGTACTCTACCACGGAGCCACGCCCCCAGCTCTTCTTCTTTGCTGGTTATTTTTAGGATAAGGTTTCATTTCCCACCTGTGCACTGAGGATTTTAGACTTCCTGTCATTGCCGGGAACACAGGCTTGTGTCCCTGTGTCCATTTCTGTTGAGACAGTCTCACTGGACTTTTCTGGTGGGGCTGGCCTGGAACTGTGATCCTCCTTATCTTAGCTTCCTGTGTAGCATGGAATGATAGGTATATACCACGGAGCTCAGCTATTGGTTGAGAAGGGGTCTCACAAACTTTTTTGTCTGGCTTACTCTTGAACCTCAATCCTCCAGTCTCAGCCTCCCAAGTAGTTAGGGTTATATACCTGGCTGTCTTTTTTTGAGTATAACCATCCCAGTGGGTGTAAAGTGGAACTCTGTGTGCGTGTGTGTGTGTGTGTGCGCGCGCGTGTGCGTGTTTATTCTAGGGTTTGAACTCAGGGCTTGGCATTGTCCCACCCTATGGGTATAAAGTAGAACTGTGTGTGTGTGTGTGTGTGTGTGTGTGTTGATTCTAGGGTTTGAACTCAGGGCTTGGCATTGTCCCATCCTATGGGTATAAAGTAGAACTCTGTGTGTGTGTGTGTGTTGATTCTAGGGTTTGAACTCAGGGCTTGGCATTGTCTCTGAGCTTTTTTGCTCAAAGGTGGTGTTCTACCACTTGAGCCAAAGCCACTTACGGCCTTTTGGTGGTTAATTGATAGAGTCTAATTCCTACTCAGGCTATCTATCTGTTGATCTCTTGTTTTAGAAGTACTGGGGTTGAACTTAGGACCTTATCTTACTAAGAGGTGGTCTATATACTCTGTGTGTGTGTGTGTGTGTGTGTGTGAGAGAGAGAGAGAGAGAGAGAGGGAGAGAGAGAGAGAAAGAGAGTGTTGTTGGTTGTCCTTGGGCTTGAACTCAGGGCTTGGGTGCTATCCCTGGGGTTCTTGAGAGAGAGGAAGGGGGAGAGAGAGAGTGTCAGTCCTTGGGCTTGAACTCAGGGCTTGGGTGCTATCCCTGGGCTTCTTTTTGCTAAAGGCTAATACTCTACCACTTGAGACACAGCTCTACTTTCAGCTCTTTTGGTGATTAATTGAAGAGTAGAGTCTCACTGACTTTCCTGCCTAGGCTATTTTTGAAGCACAATCTTTAGATTTCAACCTCCTGAGCTAGGATTACAAATTTGAGCCCCCAGTGCTGGGCTATGTACTTATATTTGAGACAGAGTTTCACCATGTAGCCCAGGATGACCTCAAACTTATGATCTTCTTATCTCAGCCTCCTGGGTGTTGGAATTACAGAATTACAGATGTTTACCATCATGAGTCCCATTCCCCCTCTCCCCCCACCATTATAGGCCTTGACTCAGGGCCTAAGTGCTGTCCCTGAGCTCTTTTGCTCAAGGCTAGTACTCTGCCACTTTGAGCAACAGCCCCACTTACAATTTTTGAGTGGGTAATTGAAGATAAGAGTCTCATGGAGACTTTTCTACCCAGGCTGACTTTAAACCACAGTCCTCAGATCTCAGCCTCCTGACTAGCTAGGATTACAGGCCTGAGCCACCAGCACCTGGCACATTTTTGAGTGGCTTTTTTTTTTTTTTTGCCAGTCTGGGCACTGTCCCTGAGCTTCTTTTGCTCAAGGCTAGCACTCTACCACTTGAGCCACAGTGCTACTTCCAGCTTTTTCTGTTTATGTGGTACTGAGGAATCCAACCCAG